TCTTGATGCACCGGGAGATTCGACTTATCAAATGAAAAGTGTGCACATAATTGAGTGATTCAAGCAGTGTTCGAAAAAAGACGTCTCTGAGGGGACCTCAGGAAGCATCTCTTCTTAGCTTAGCCTCTCTTGAATCCAATGTTTGTCCCGATCGATATCTTCCATCGCTTCGTGCCAACCTCGTTTCCTCGTTGGGTATGTTTGCGTGCCTTCCTGTAGGCCGGACTCTTGCGCTACCTGCACTGGCCATTCACACATCAAAATTCAGATTTTCCTCAAGTCTGAAATCCGCTTGCAAAGGCGGAAAATAAGTTCGCTAAGTGAAGTGCTCTGCTAATCGCCTCATTGCTTCATGTGGTTCTGTCAAATTTCCATTGGAACTTGCTTCTCACTTTCAGAGAAGTGCGGAAGCACAGCGACCGCCAAGAGAGTCATTATTCAGCGGGAGTAGTGCAAACCCACTATTCGTTTCCACCACGCGTAAGCAACTCACCTTACAGGAGTTTATACCGAGCACGTAGGATGTGCACATATCTTTTATATTGCAGTGTGGAATTCGCTTTAGATCTGATGAGACCGACAAGGATAAGCAGTACAATTAATTCCATGATGGAAACCAGCAAACTGTAAGCATGGTTTTCCCACTGTGGGGGCATTCACCTTGTGTACTAATACTGCAACAGTTCGGGAAATGTCCAGAAAAGAGAGAAAATTGGAAAGCGAATTACGGATTAAATGGAATCCCAAGTACGGGGTGTTAGGCAGTGGTCGCTTGGCAGTGAGATTCCAAAGCTCATCCTCTGTGTACGTAGCATATTGACCATTGGTGACGTAACACTCCTCAGCGGCACGGGAATAACGACCCTCAGCCATGCCCTCACACCCTCTCTCCCACCTCTTCGGCTTAGCTAACATAATAAGCAAGCACAAATGCACTCCAAATGGTCAGCTGAATTTACTGCGAGCAGTGGTGGAGGCATTTCAAAATTTCTATTTGATTAGTTTGAGTGAAAGGATAGAAGCGA